GTTAAAGATTTAGATATGACAAGTTTGTCGAAGACATGACAGGTCAATATTTTCGAGATAAATGTGGTATAAACAATATATTTTGACGATTTAAAAAAAATTATTGGCAGAGACGCACTCGCTCAAAGATCAAAAGAATTCGTATACAATGTTATTCATTTGAAAAGTATTTTGTGGAAATTTTTTAATAACTATGAAGTTGAGAGATTCGACTTTTTTTTCGAATATAATGAAACTTTTATTATCTATGGTAGTTATATGTCTACGCTTAATTTTGTTTGTTTTATCATTTTTTATGTAACTAGAGTGCATCTGGTTACAGTAAAATATATTAATAGTATTTTTATTGCGGTATAAATCAAGTTTATTATATAGGTAGCTCTGATTAGCTGTCGGTGAAAATATTTTATTTGGTCATCGACGGTATGAAGAAGAAACGATATAATCAATAAGTGTATAGTATCAGACAATTCTTTATAGAATATTATTGTAAATGAAGAAATTAAGTTAGCACGGATAATTTAGTGTTTTTATGAGGCGTTGTGGGGTAAGAAGACAGGCGTATTTTTATATGCTGAAGTTAACAAAGTTCTTGCTGATGACATCGGGAAAAGGGTTTCGTATGTAAAATCTTAAGTACAGATTACATTCAAACGTTTGTGTCATATTTTCAGTTAATTGGGGTCCTGTTTTACAAAAAAAAAAAACAACTGATTATTTACATTCTCCTGCGTTTAACTAATAAAAAAATTCTGATGAAAATTGAATTTCTCGAAATTCCATGAAATTAATTAAGTTGGGGGAGGGTAACATGTGTAAAAAGATATATTTTACCAAGATTTTCTAAACATATAATATCAAAAATAATTCCATTTATTTTTGAATAAGTTCTGTAACTTTCATTAAAATCTGATAGTTATTGGATTTGACTCGAATTTCCAAATCAATGGATTTTCACTGAAAAGAAAGCGCAAAAACACTAATCTTAAATATTATGTCGACCGCTGACAAAAAAATTAAGATTTTTAACCAAAATTTAAGGATAAAAAAATGATAAAATAAAAAAAAATAAATTGGCTTTTCCTTTTAATAATAACGTAAACATTTTGACGATAAAACTTTTTTTTAGTTGTGTTTAGGGCCCTTTTTTCATGCTATACTGCTTTCTCAGTGAGCAAGAGGGGGTACTTATATTAATATATATTTGGGCAGCAGCTTTTCTTTTAAAAATGTTTCGTTGAATATGACAAACAAGGAGAATTAAATTACTTTTTTTATTTAGTTTTTTTTAGCGTTCTTACATTTTTCGTTTGGTGGAAGTTTGAGAGTACAAAATTGTCCGTGTTGTCCATTGTCCCGAGCGCTTTAGGCTACTCACTTCTTTAGCCATTTTCAAGGCGGGATTGTTTTAGGTGTTGTTAATTTATCTTCATGTATGACTGTTCAAAAAAAATATTTTTCGTGTTGTTTTGGATATTAGTAGGAGCGTTTATTCCGAGCCTTCGCAATTGAGCGTGGCTGGAATTCGTATAAGCGTCTTTCTATTTTTTAAATCTTTCAACACATATATATAATAAAAGATAAAAAATATAAATATCCCTAACTTTTTTTTATATCATGGGGGTTTAGTACGTTCCCCTGTGAGTATGAGGTATTTTAATAAATGTAGGATTGGGTGAAGTGGGACGTGTTCTTGTGGTGAATGGGTACATTTAAACAGCGGAATGTTTTGCGAATCAGATTAGCAAGGTTTAGAATAGCCGATGACGACCATTCTCACCTTACTTCCCCTTCGGCCTTGTGTCAAAATTGTACGTAAAAATGCAATAAATATACACATATATATTATTATTATATTATTTTTAGTGACAGGAAGCACATTTTCTTTACGTTTTATTGCGTAAACAGGACAGTAGACGAATTAAATGCTATTTCTAAAAATAAACAGAGCTTTTACTCAAGTACGGGTATCCACTAAAAGTAACGTTTGACGTAATAAAAAATGACGAATTAAAATATATATATAAAGGAAATAAAAGAAATAATAACTGCGAATTATATTACTTTTAAGCAAAATTGACGTGTTTTATTCGGTTAAACTTAAAATTCGTTATTTTTTAGAGTTTCGAAATAACATGTCCTCTTCTTGAGGTCAGAACGGCAATTTAATTTCTGTTTTTGATTATCGAATTGTTATATTCATCAACTTTCTCATTTTCGTGTTCACTTTTCAGTAATTGATAGTTTAGGTGTTAGTATTGTCAAAAAGGTAATATGAATGATTTTATTGTGTAAAGACTTAATCTCCGAGTATTTTATGCTTAAAGACCGATTTATATTTTCATTTTTCTTCCAAAAATAACAAACTTTTGGATATTTGTGGTTGTTTTATGTACGACAATTTCCTGCTTTGTGTACATAACATTTTATATTCATTTAACCCTAGAACACTAACCATGGATATATAGTACTCAGCGCAAATTTTCCTATTTTTAATTACAATTTTCATTACCTCTCTTGATTACCTAAATAATATATTTTTCAGTTACTATTAATGTTAACTCAAAGTACAAAGTTTGAATTGCTTGCATGTAAAATATTTCAAATAAAGATTTATATTTAATATTTTTTTGATATTTTCAAATCGGGTACCATATAGCCATGGTTAGTAGTGGTGTAACTTTAATTGATGGTTAGTGTTCTAGGGTTTAAAAAAAAAACCCCAAAAACTTGTGTTTTTTGAGAGTCTCTAAAAATCGTAATGTATATAATGTTTATATACATATATTATATATCTTCCAAAGATTGTCATCTACCGAGGTGATAATGGGGATATGCACTCACTGTCTATAAAGTGGCATTCATCTAAAATAGCCTCTGATAACTAAGTCTGGCTCCAATTCGGTGAATGAGCGATGGCGGTCGATTGTTGCCTTGTAACCAGTTGCTTCGGATAGATAGAGATCGACAGCCCAGCTTCGGGAAGGAAAACTGATTTGAGACGCCTGCTTCCTTGTGTTCATATACAAACACGGAAAAAATTATGAAAGTAAATCCAAACTGAAAATCCAGAGTGGAACCTCGAAGGAGGTTGGATGTCAAAACTGACAACTTTCCGACAACTCCTGTAGACAAAATGGCCCCAAATATAATACCCCATATTCCTTTGGGTTTTGTTGGTACGGTCGAGCGGGACTACGGATTTAACCTGGGAAACACATGAACACATACCATCACACATGCCTTCACCTGCATAGGTCACTTCAGTTCCAACACCAAAGGACTTCGTCCTGGGTACGACGTTAAACTGCATCCAACAGCAAGGCCTCTAATCAGGAGGTTTTGAGGAGCGTGGAACCACCTCTTAATTGCTGATGTTCCCAGGTCCACCCTGACCCGAGGTGGTAGCACCTGTTAGGGTCCCAGCTATGGGCAAATAGTGAACTCCCAGTCTAGCCCGCGTCCTGGATATGACGATAAACTACATCCGAGTCCATGGGTATGACGATAAACTGCATCCACATCCATGGTCAAGACGGTAAACTGCATCCGCGTCCATGGGTATGGCGATAAACTACATCCACATATTAGATATGGCAATAAACTACGTCCAACAGAAAGACCGTTTTTGAAAAATTAAGGTTGTCGGCTATACGGTTTTGGAAAAATAGTATTACCAGCTCTACGTTTTCGAAGGAATAATATTGCCAGCAATGCGTTTTTGGAAAAATAATATTACCAGCTCTACTATTTTGAAAAATAATATTCTCAGCTATATGTTTAAAAAAAGAAAAATATTACCAGCTATATGTCTTATTCAATGGAATTGTAACTGGAGTCAAAACACTGTGAAAGGATGAGGTTTTTTTTAAAAAGAAAAAAAAAAAACTACTGCCAGTTATACGTTTTTGAAAAAAAATAATGTTGCCATTGCTGGTAATAATTTCTTTACAAAACTGTATTTCTGGTATTAACATCTATTTTTACGCTTTCATAATGTTTTGACCCCAGTTTAGGGGTTAAGTATTTGCCCATAGCTGGGACCCTAACAGGTGCTACCACGCCGGGTCAGGGTGTACCTGAGAACACCAGCAATTAAGAGGTGGTTCCACGCTCCTCAAAACCTCCTGTCGGACGTAGTTTATCGTCATACCCAGGACGCGGATGTAGTTTATCGGCATACCCAGGACGAACCGCTCAATTTCTGTACCTCAATTTCTTATTTACTATATTAGAAACAAATAAAAATAATCGTCTAAAAAAGAAACGTTTTTCGCAAAATAATTGGCGGGAAAGGGGTTAATGGGCACGAGGAACGCTCGTACAGTGACCTGAGATTTTATATTTTCTTTTTCTTTGATTTTATTTTATTTTAGCCAAATATTGATTTCGCATTGACTGTACAAAAACAATAACACTTTCCGATATATATATATATATATATATATATATATATATATAATATATTAGTGCATCGCTGTCTCCACTGTGGCATGATCGATTTGTTTATTTCTGATCGTTTTACACTTTGCCATAGATTACAATTCTCCGTGGAGTTGCATGTGGTTGGGTAATTTAGTTCCGCTTACACTTAGAATGATCTGCTGTAATCGTCAAATAGATTTCTGTTATTGGATCCTGATGTGAGGTGATTTGCTTGTTAACCTCACTTGTCAAATATGGTGGTCAAAGAATTTTTTTTCTTTCTCACTCACTAGTCTCAAGAAAAAGAAAATAGACGAAAAGAAGCTATCGATAGAAAAATAGTTACGCCGAAAAAAGTTTGATTCTGTAATCACACACGCGAACACAATATATATATATATATATATATATATATATATATATATATATATATATATATATATATATATATATATATATATATGTCCATGGGTCCATGGGTTGGGGTATATTTAATACAGAACAGATACTTGTGATTATGTTGATTAATTATAAAGAAGGATAAATAAAAAAAACAAAAGAGAAGAACGGTACCACTATGAAATGGTACTTGATAGAAAATGAAAGCAGGGAATTATGACTAAGTAAATAGAAAAGAGAGAAAGATGGTGAGAGAGAAATAGGAAGAAAATTAAATAAGCGGGAGGACGAGAAAGTGGTGTAAGAAAGTAAATAATCGTGACAGGGAGAGAACAGAGTGAGAAAGTAAATGACATAAAAGGGATCCACAAAGTCTTTAGACAATTTCAAAAAGTCATTACAAATAACGGTGAATATACAGGGTGTGCACAAAGTCTTTAGACAAATTCAAAATTACTTTTTGTAATGACATTTCAAAATTGTCTAACAATTTGTGGACACCATGTACACACACAGAGATGCACGTACACACACACAGATAGATAGATAGATAGATAGATAGATAGATAGATTATATAAAAACTGAGATAGATAGATAGATAAATAAATGAGATAGATAGATAAACAAACTGAGATAGATAGATAGATAGATAGATAGATAGATAGATTATAAACAAACTGAGATAGATAGATAGATAGATAGATAGATAGAATATAAACAAACTGAGATAGATAGATAGATAGATAGATTATAAACAAACTGAGATAGATAGATAGATAGATAGATAGATAGATAGATTATAAACAAACTGAGATAGATAGATAGATAGATAGATAGATTATAAACAAACTGAGATAGATAGATAGATAGATAGATAGAATATAAACAAACTGAGATAGATAGATAGATAGATAGATAGATAGATAGATAGATTATAAACAAACTGAGATAGATAGATAGATAGATAGATAGATAGAATATAAACAAACTGAGATAGATAGATAGATAGATAGATAGATAGATAGATTATAAACAAATTGAGATAGATAGATAGATAGATAGATAGATAGATAGATAGATAGATAGATAAAATAAAACAAACTGAGATAGATAGATAGATAGATAGATAGATAGATAGATAGATAGATAGATAGATTATAAACAAATTGAGATAGATAGATAGATAGATAGATAGATAGATAGATAGATAGATGGATTATAAACAAACTGGAGATAGATAGAAAATAGATAGATAGATAGATATGCGGCGTACAAAGTAGACTAATATAAGTTAGAGGGAACGAGAGAATAAATTCAGTCAGTTATTTGCCATGCGTTTTACACAATTAGGCGATCATGTATCTTTAAGTACATGACTGACGAGGTGGATTTTTTCCTGCAGTAGGTTGCCATTTCTTTCGGCGGTAGACCAGTTGCCATCCAACGCTATAGAACCAGGTCTGTCCTGCTATTTACCCATAGCTGAGGGGAGAAGAAAAGGATTCTTACTTTTCCCAAGGGTATTAGCCCGTAAGTGGATGTAATAGATTCCACTTGAACTAGAATAAATTATGAAAGTGAATAAGAGAAAGAAAATATTAAGAAAGAGAGATAAAGAAAGACAGAGAGAGGAGTAGAGATCAGAGTAAGAAAACGACTAGGAAAGAGAGAGAGAGAGAGAGAGAGAGGGAGAGAGGGCGAGAAGTAGAAAGAAGATGAAAACTTTTATCGAATAAGTTCTTCCGTCCTTATTGCGTCTGAAAATAGATAAATGCTAAAACGTATATTTCCGCGTATAAGTCGACCTTTAGATTTCTTATTGATTATATAAAGATGTTGTTATTTAGAAATGCGGTAACTGTATCTTTAGAAATTCAAAATAATGAAATAACAAAAGTGATTCTATATTAACTTTTTCCTACATACGTTCCCTATAAAGGAAACCATTGTTTTGTTTACGCTTCATCACGTGATCTCTTGCGAATACTGATTCTTCTTCTTCTTCTTCTTCTTCTTCTTTATCTAAAGAGTTAAAACAGCCAGTACTAATGGCCATTTACTTATACTTCATTGACAATCACAAAATACCGCTAATAACACTACGACAATGTACGATAATAGTACTTTCCATTGTTGTGAACGCAATCCGAAGTCGATATTTACATTTTCTCTACTGGGCTTGGATTTCATTGATATGGAATTATTATTCGAATAGGCAATTTATTATGAAGTTATGCCAGAAACATATAAGGTAGAAATGGTTTTATTACGTTGATTATCAGTTTATTTGGTAATGGGAATATTTCCATGTACGTTATTTGTTATCACACCGAGGGTGAGGTTAGCCTACCGACAAACATCACTCAGAATTTAAGGCTTCTTTTTTTAGAGTTGTAGTATAAGACGACCCTCAATTTTTAATGGTGATTTAGGGGCGGATTTAAAGGTCGTCTTATACACGGAAATATACGGTAAATGTTTTTTAATCATTAAGTTCTGGACTGTATTTATCAATCTGGATAACTAAAGAAGAAGGAAAATCGGATGTATCATTTTCACTGTCATACAATTTAAAATCTTCGTTGCAATAACAACTTTTTGGTGTCTTTGGTGTTTAAAGTCGGAGATAAGTTGTCAGCAATGGAGGCACATTCAAAATTGACATTACAAAATGATACGCAGATAAAATACCGAAATGATACATAGATAAAATGACGGTGTGCAGATCATATCAGCAAATATAAATAAACAAATATATAACAAGTCGGTTTAGGTGAGCTGGCGAACGTGTTCCCATGTACATTTGTCTAGACTTTACAAAAATTTTGAATCTATTACTTTTTGTTAGGCGTGTCATATTTTAATAAAACCTGATAAATCCAAAGCATCGAAGAAGAAAAAATTCTCGAATAAATAAATGAAATATATTTTTTTATTTTTGACTTTATACGAAATATTTTTTAACTAACATATTTATATTTATTTCCTATACTGAGTATACACGTGTAATCTTGAGAAAAAAAATGAGACACACACACACACACACACACACACACATATATATATATATATATATAGCTTGATGATAAGGATGATAAACATATTTTTATATATTTTTATGATTTTAGTTAGTTGATATGTGGGAGCGCAACAAACGTTTTAGCAAATTACAAAATTTTAATTTTCGGTTACTCCTGCAACCTTCGTCAGTGTTTGGCATTGAATAGGGTTTTTGAACATGGCTAAATTTCAAATCCAGAGGAGGTTAATGTCCTAAGTCTGAGAATCACCAATCCTTTGGTCATGGCACCTAATAAAGATTTTTATTGCCTTTTAACACAACTTTTTTCCCTCATACCGACCTGTCTGTTATTCCGGTCAGAATACAGCAACTATAAATGCGTAGGTGGGTGGCTGAAAACACGTTAACATTTTGTCTTATTAGTGCGTTAATAAGTGTATATACTAAAATACGTAAGGATATATGATGAAGACTATGAAATAATAATAATAGATTATATTAAGCGTATGTTTTGTTACGTCATCCTAAGGCCAATGTTGATCGTCTGTTTGCGTCCAGATTCGAAGGAGGCAGAGGATTTGTTTAAGCAGAACTGTCTTGCAAAAAGCCAAGAATCGGTTTTCAAAGATACCCGGAAACTACAGAAGACTGAATAATGGTCTGTGACAAAAACATGAAGTAAAAAACAAAGATTATTCAATACTAATAAAGAAAGCTTACAAATTCAAAAGGGAATTTTAAATGGATGACGAAGATCAAGTAAAGTATAAAACATCTAATGAAGCCGTAAAGGACCTCAAAATAAAACAAAAGCAAATGCAATTGAGAAATGGTAGGAAGAGGAACATAGTCAATATTGCTCCCGTGCCAAATAAGCTGACGTAGACAAACTCTATACCGATCACAATTGACCATCTTTTGTCAGGTTGTACGACATGAGCATCCATCGAATATATAACTCAACATGTCTGTGCAGGCTATTATCTGAACTTGAAAATTTTCACCTTTTATGGAAAGGAGACTGCAAGAAATCGCTCTGCACACCACTCAGTTTGAAATGTAATTTTGTTTCAAACTAGTCACAGCACATTACATTGCATCTAAACATGGTTCTGCTGTTAATATTTCGTTCTCTCACCTGGTAGGACGACATAGAACCGCATCACGAATTTACGAAATACGTCTGCAAATCCGCGACCGTTGCATATAAATCGTCGCATAGCAATCTTCTATGTCCGCATAACAGAATATCATATGTGATGGTGAATATCTTTTTTTTAAATGTCCATAGAACCACTGTGAAGATGGCTCATGTGAGCCAAAATGTTTAGATAAAGGGACAGCATAATAAAAGAATATCCAAATGTTGGACAATTTTTGTCTTTATTTTTTCACAAAATTAAAGCAACTATACGTAGCTTAGAAAACGGCTTATGATCAAACATAATAGACATTCGCTGTCTGTTATATATATATATATATATATATATATATATATATATATATTGAACAATAAGAAAATAAAAATTAAAAATTAAAATCATTAGACACACTGGGTTGTAGATTAATTTTCTTTCGTTTTTTATTATTATTATTCCATTTAGATTCCTCGACTAGTTTTCGACCGAAATGGCCATCATCGGGGAGCAGAAATATTTCTGCTTGCTGTTGGCATTGAACTACAGAAATGAATATATATATATATATATATATATATATATATATATATATATATATAGGCATTAAAAATGACTACTCAAGTCTGTTTTTACGCCGCCTAGATAATTGTCTGTTAGCTATTCGCATTACAGTTTGAAAGAAGCTAAAAATCAATCAAAGATACGTTTATCTGAACATGTATTCGAAGGGGAATTATTAAGGAATTGTACCAAGCTGTTTTAGTTGCAAATTTTAAAGTGCCCGCCTTCCTGATCAATACACAACTGAAAACATGCAGTCAAAGAGTGGCAAACATGCTGGCAAATTCCTATATTAATTTCCCCAAACACTGCAGTGCTTTTAGCCTTCAATTTCTGAATGGTGTGAGGCTTTTCAGCATAGTTTTTATGAGCTCCCAAAGAAAGGAATCTAGATGTGTGAAACCTAGACAGGGTGTCGTCATTGAATCGATCCACTTTCCAAGAAAAAGATAAAATATTTCTTGAAATTGCTGTCGAAAGAATTGAGTGAGAAAAATAAAAATCTGCAAGAGAAATATTAACACCAATATTTCCCAGAATCTGGGTGCTTCTTTTAACTCACTCTGTATATGAAGATATAGATAGACAGATAAAAATGAAGCAATGCTGTCATATTTGGGCACACTTACTTGTCTTGACAGATTGCAAAAGCGTCCACGCGGACTTGGGGGGGTTAGTAATTATTACCTACCCTACAAGCCTTTTCCGACAGATGAAACATCGCGAGCCATTGCGAGTCACTCTGATCTATCGCTATTTCCATGGCCCGTGTTCTGACTAGCTTCATTCCTTTATCTACAATTGGGACTCACCATGACACTTGCACAAGGATCACTATTTCCTTTGCATTCAATTAGTAAGAAGTAAGTTCCATTCGGACAAATTCTTCCCAAGAATTGCTACTCTGTGGAACAGACTCACAGCAGTATGTTTACCCAATCATTACAATCTTGAGCTCTTCATGTCTAAGGTTAACCTTTATCATTCCTGAACCCATGAACTCCATTTCTTGCCTTTTCTTATCTTCAGACAACACCACACGGTAACCTTCTACATTGAGTGGCTCGTGGGCATTGCATTGAGTGAACATTTGTATAAAAATAAAGACAGGGAGAGAAAGAGAGAGTGATAGTGAGAAAGAGAAAAAGCGATGTAGACTGGTGATATTAGTTCCATACGTTTAAGAGTCAGTCATTTATATGCCATTCGCGATACACGCTTAGGCGATCATGTATCTTTCGATACATGATTGACGAGGAAGATTTTTTCCCGTAGTAGGTTGCCAGTTCTGTCTGTGGTAGACCAGTTGGTAGACTAAGGCTACAGAACCCGGTTTGGCCTGCTATTTATAACAGGAGCATCAAATCAGATGTGGCAGCAATATTCAAAGCAAGGACAAATGGTAGACTTATAAATATGTAAAATAGATTCTGTTGAGAAAAATTGTCTAGCACGACATTATGAACTAACCTACCTAGCAGGAGACTTAGCAATTGATTCAATATATTTCAAGTTCATTATTTCTAGAAGGCGGAAACATTATTTCTATCACTCTCCTAGAGATTAGCATCAGCCCTGATGATTGAAGGTAAAATGATTCTCTCAGACGATTAGAAGAGAACGGTTATAATAGGGATCAGAAATTGTTTCACTCCTTTGGAAACATTTCTCATTTGTTTGGGTGCCATGATGAATAATATCCAAATGGTTTCCTTTATTTTTCATTTTGATCTAAACGTAATTTATTCAGTATAGAGTGATTCGAATATATTGTAACCTTTTCTCGCATACCTCTATTAATTTATACTCGGCAAAATCAGGAAATATATTTCTAATTCCACACAATTGTGACGACGTACTCTGATTGTCCGTCGTTCGCTTCACCTGTGAGGACATCCAAGGTCGGTTATATGCACATACACCCACCCAGCTCTGTTCAACAGAGAATAAATCCAATCAAAATTCTCTGGTTGGGAAATAGCAACAATACGAATTCTGACTTAGCCGTCTATGTTTTCATTCTGCTATCTTCCTAACTTCCGCTGGTCCCTACCTCATCTGGCCACTGGGTAATTACTCACTCACTGGCCACCTACCTACCTACTTACTTCTTGCCTCTCTCTGCTTATATGAATACTGGCTGGGGTTCTGCCACCCCTATACGTCCTTTTGTGTTCGGTTTTTTGGGTGGTCAGCTTCTGTTAAAAGACTACTTTTATGATTATCTAAAATCATTAAAAAAATTTTATGTTTGCCAATTCAAAGGCGGCTGGGGACAGAAGTCCTGAAAAACTCTTGGTTAAGTACCTTGACATGGTGAAATGACTTGAGGGCTCCTATGACCTGCTGAGCGATACTGGCAGGAGTTTATATCCTGGCAGAATTAATCTATCAATCAGGTAGGGGCTAGACAAAAGTTTCGTCATCTAGATGAGCAAATTCCAGTGAAAATTTAGCAGCCTTCCTGTAGCATAGATAGTAGTATCAACCGCTCAAGACGCTGGTTTGATTTACAGTAATCCATGGCGGATGATACGCAACCCTGTCAACTACGAAGATAGCGATCAAGTAATTGGAGTTAGCTGAATACGGCGGTTGAATATCCGAAATTCAAAAACCCGAAAAACTTCAAAATTCCGAGAGTTTTTCAGATGCTGACATGATTTGCCACAAATGGAACATTACAGAAAGCCCAGCTACCTTGCGTAGTTGGAACCAGTTTTTAATAACGATCATCACTGCAACACTTTCGTTCGCGGATTACTTTCCAGGTATTTTGTGCTCAGTAAAACTATTCTTCAAAATGTCCTGCATTTATATAATTTGTAAGGAGTGATCATGTTTTTTGTACACATACAGAAAATACAAAACATTATGTTTACGTGAAATCTTAATTTCACCATTGACCATGTGAGGATTACATGACTAGCATCATTACCTGTATCTGTATTTAAAAAAATTACAAAATTTATTAAATTTCATATAAAACTACTTTCAGGGTATGTTATTTTTTTTTAAAATACCTTCAGTGTTAATGTATAGGCTATGTTAAGAAATAGAAAGAGATATCATATTTATGTTTGGGTTCATTTCCAAAGCTGCCCCATTTTATAGATGATATATCCAATTTAAATAGCCTGTATTCCAAAATACGAAAAACATTTGAAAATCGAATCACTTCCGGTCTCAAGATTTTCGGATAAAGGATTCTCACCCTGTAGAAGTTACGACAATGAGTACTGAATCGTATTTACAGTCTCAGTGCTTTAGGAATTGAACAAAGAAACAGTATGGCTCTTAAATCCTATTCTTCATACGAAATCGCTCTTCGTGTGGATCAACAAAGGGAGTTGTCCATTAAAAAAAAAGTAATGGGAAAAACTAGTTAAAGGTGCACGAATTTGCGCTGAAAAATTTAAAAGCTGTATGTAATCAGTATTTTATATATCAATAAGAAACTGGAGACAATTTTAATCAGAGTTATTACTTTCATTAATGTTGAACAATACAGGATCATAAAGAAAATAATAATTAATTCGTTGCTCCTCCTCGGGTTTTTATGATGTCATGAATTTATTGAAGCTTACGGCCATATCCCGTTGAAACACCTGTCCCAGTCCGATCACTGAAGTTAAGCAACATTGAGCTTAGTCAGTACTTAGATAGATGACCGCTTGGAAATACCAGGTGCTGCAAATTTGGATGTGCGAGTTGTATAATGGAAGAAGATGAGAACGAGAAATCGGAAAGCCGTGTTCGAATTCCAGGGGCGGGGGTCATTACATTCACTCTAATACCCTTGGAAACAAATAAGAATTCATGTCTTCTCCTCCATATATGGGTTAAAATTGTAAGACTTGTATCTGAAAATCATTACTATCTCCAAAAAATTGTTAATTCAATATTCACTAGCAAAAGAAAAGAATCACTATTCTTGCAATCCCCAAATATTTTTCGGCTTTAAATAACCTGCAAAATGTTGGTAAGCCGTAAAAAAATAAATCTATCAATTAATCAAAACTGAATTCATTGAGTTTTCTTTAAAGAAAAAATATTTTAGCTATGGGACCATTAAAGTGATTCCAACTTTCTCCAATAACGGTTGGCAGATCTGTTTTGCAGTAGGTCATCGACTATTTTAAAAATATCCGCCATAATTTCTTAATCGGATTGAGACATGGTGAATTTGGTGGTCAGGTTATTGAGTAGATATTCCTTTTCTAGCGATAAGCTTTGGTTGGTAAGAAATGTCATCATCATGAGAATTGACTTCATCACCGCAAAACCTATTTTCTAGCGATGAAATGAGTAAAGTTTCCATTGGCTGCCAAAGTAAACATTGCCATCATCTCTAATCCTTTCCTTGACATGAAACCACTTGTTATGAATGAGTGGGCAAATTTGATGATATTTTTCAAGCTGCCATTTTTATATGTTGAACTGTAACAGCGCAAGACAAATGTCCCCGCCTCAGTGCTTTTGCCAATGAAGATACGTGATACATGACCGATTATCCCTTTCATCCAATCATCCATATACCATACTGTAGCACGTTGTAAACGTTTTCTTCTTTTTATGTGTTAATAATTGTTATTGCATGATTATTCTGTATGTGGATATGCAAATAGTGGAACAGTTAATGTCTTAGAAAGAGAAATCAGCAAGACAAGCTTGAATTCTGGTCAAGTCTGCCGTATTCCCTTTAGCACGAATACTGTTCGGAAAGGTATGAACCCATTTGTTTTCCTCGCCGCTATAGGCTAAATAAACTGCATTCTGTATAAGCGGACAATTCCGAATTCGGAACTAGGATACTTGAAGCTGTTTAAAGATTGCTAGACATAGGGCGCAGATTCTATAGACACGATAGATTTTAACAGCCGATGATAATTCCATTCAAGCGCAATTATATTGTGAGCTGAATGATGGTCTCATTGTTTTCCCTATGTAAACCACTTTTCTTTGAGCCGATGTCTTCAAAATCGTCTCACCAGAAATGATGCCTTTTTGTTAATGCATATTAGCTATACTGGCGGGAGTTTATATACAGGAAGATTCAATTTGGCAAGACATCGTCATCGCAAATCTAACATGTCAATCGACCATGACTCAATCCGATTGAGAAATTATGATGGATATTTTTAAAATAGTCGATGACATGACTAACTTCTTTAGTTAAACATTTCGAACAGATAATAAAATTCCATAAGACCTTGTATTCCTCAACCACCAGATAACATTTCGCTAAAATGCAATCAAATAAGTTCGGTAACATTTACGCAATATCTGTCTATTTTCTGTGATGAAGTATTGTAACTATTTGCACTATTTACATTGTTCGGATTATTATTATTATTATTATTATTATTATTATTATCTTTATTGTCATATTCACAACTTTTTGTCTGTTGCATGCTCCGTATATCAGCTGAAGAAGTCGGGAGCGTACAACGGCCGAAACGTCGTGAATATGATAATAAAGGTGAGGACAATAGTCCGAATATGTAAATAGTGTAAAAAGATTGATGCAATTTCTCTTTTCAAGACTATATAATTCTTTTACACTGAATATTTACATGTTTCGTTTACGTGTTATGAAAAATGATCAACTTGGTGTAAATAAAATAATCGATATTCTTTGAGTTTTGTTACAAGAAAACAAAACCATTAGCTATTAAATAAAACTTGACATGTCTGTGATTTTTATTTGCTCCGAAAAATGCTTGGTAAACATCTAGTAACTGTATTGTTTCTATAATTTTGATTGCATTCTTATATATTAATTATAGCATTGTCAAAATAACAGTAATGTCGGAACATTAAACATTATTGGTAAATAAAATATTCATTACTTATAGGTAACGTTTTCCAATTATTTTTATCTTTTCTATTTTATTAACAGAGTAAATATATTTACCGTTGTAGTGCATAATGATTCTTTTGTGAATACTTGGGAATATTTCATACAAAAAATAATTCATTTATGTTATCTAAAACTGTTCGCATATCCATTGTTTCTGGTGATTGATATTCAGAGTAAAGTACGCTTTGTTCGGATTCTGTTCCTAACACCGAATGCAACTCATTTATTAATGTCAATTGCTGCATTGTTGATGTTTTAATGCCACTTAAGGGAATCTACAAAAAGCCTATAACGGAGTTGTTTTATTAACTGTAAAATATTTTTGAAATAAATACCAATGTAATATGGAGATATTAGTAGATTTCCTTATTTTTCCAAGTTGATAACAATAAAAGTATCTGCTGAATGTATCCCATCCCAGATCAGGCCAGAATAAAATTTGCACTCAACGCTCTTCAGAGAATCCAGACGCAGTGTTGTCCTGACAGATGAAACTCTAATCTCTGTCTGGAGGACTATGTGATCAGTATAGCTGCATTTGGAATGAGAAAGAAACGTTATATAAACACCCAGGAGAACTCTCTTTCAAGTATAGCGGACGGACATGTAAGGTACATGTTTCTAGTGAGCGTCGCTGCGCGCACACAGGCAGACATTAATTCGACGAAATATTGGAGTAAAATAAGATCTGGTCCTGTATACAATTTGCACGCAGTTCCCTTACGATTATCCAGATGCAAGGCTAGCCGGACAGATGGACCTCTAGCCACCGTCTGGAGGACTATGTGATCAACATAGCTGCATTTGGAATTTCCACCTAGGAAAGAAACGTTATATAAGCAACAAGGAGAACTCTCTTTCAGGTATCGTAGGTGGAAATGCAAGGTCCATGTCTCTGGTGAGCACCACAGCGCGCACGAAGAGATATATTGATTCGACGAAATATTGCAGTGAAATAAAATGTAATATATTTAAGCATGAGAAATTAAATTGCGTGTTATCATTAGTCTTAGAGCACAACGACTCCATTACACATATTCCTAAAAGTCTGCTTCGTTAAAAATTAAAAGTTTGTGAGTTTATGAAGATGTGTTGCAAATTCAGAACAAACTTACAGTTTGGGGTTTCTAGACGGAGTGAAAAAAATTCGAAAAGATAGCAAAATTCCATATGAATTTGTATTCCTCTACCATCAAATAACATTTCTCTAAAGTACCATCAAATAAGCTATTATACAGGGTGCGGCAGAAATACCTCTCACATTTAAAACCTTTGTGGTACTCGTAATGTTAGGTAAGTGGCAATAGTTTTACAGGGATTAGCGGAAATGAATGGCACGGACATAGTAAGTGATGCTATTTCAGTGCTTACGTTTACCTATAAAGCTGCAAAGCATGTTTTTTTGCACGTGTAGTTGTTTCAAAATTTACGAAAATTCCTGTCGAACCAAATACATCCTTGCGATCGGATGTTGTCAAAAACATCCGGTCTTTACATTCTGCGACCTTCTGCATTTGACTGTTATATTCCTTACCATTCTCGTAATATCGAACCGAAACCTTTAGTCGATTCTTCGTATTCGTTAATTCTGCCTTGACATCGATTCTACTCGTCACCACTGGGGCAAAAGGCACGGGCTTCAATGCTTTAACCAGGAACTGAATTCACAATCTCCGCGTAAAGTCCATACCTTTACCCATTACTTATAACCAAGAATTCATTTCCCAGCGGTTTCGTTGATTTATTTTATTTTATGGTTTATCAACCCGTTGTGGGTTATTTTAAGCCAAAACATGTTTCGAATTATAAGAGGTCGCTTATTGTACACGTTATTTCCAATTGTATGTCGGCGAAATCGCTGATTGATATTTAACTTTTTGAATATCAAAGTTGACTGGAAAAAAAAAAAGAGATTTCCACAAGCGAGAAGTACGTCAGAAGAAAACATTAGCATAAAAATTACGGTTGCATGTAGCTACTTCAAATATAAATGATGACACTTTACTGCCGGTCTAGTATTGCGCTTAAATTCATAAAATCTAGGTACCACAGCGGAAAATGACATTTATTTTGAAAAATACAATCATGTGGCAAAATGCCAAGGGGTGATGTGGAAGGCCAGTCTTTAATCTGTCTTATCTTAAACTTAGCTAGCCACAATTACTGACCCAAACATACCACAGTATTCTTCACCAAAACAAGACATTCTTATTACCATTCTTGCTACAGCCACCATAATACCTCTTAATCTCTATGAAGTTAACTAGTTCCCATATGTACAATTTGTATGTAGTGGGTGGGGAATAAAAATAATAACTATAGCGGAAAGTTCACTAAAATTATTACCATGAAAGTATTTATAGGAAAGGCACAAGGAAGCTGTGTTGCAGCGGTAAGAAAATTACTGAAACCGAGATGCCAGGTCAGGACCAATAACCTTGCATATACTTCTTTGGATTTTAAAAAAGAATCTCTAAATATATACCAGGTGCCCCATACCAGAAATATTCACAGCAAAGACGAATAGTAGACTTATAAATATATAAGATAGATTCTGGCGAGAAAAACTGACTAGCACGACAAAGTAAATAAACTTTCATAGCTACAGGCTTAATAATTGATTTAATATATCCTTTCCACTTCATGTCAGTGGAAAACATTAGTATAAGAAGGTGCAATGAGTGGATCTCTTGGAGTTTAGCATCAGCCATACTAATGCAAGGTAAAAAGGGTTCTCTCAGATGATTAAAAGAGAGCAGTTTCGTTTTTGAGGCGTTAAAATTAACAAGCCACTCCTTGTTCACTTTGTCAACTCACTGTAAATCATTTTTGA